AATCAGGAACACAGAAAACATGTTCTGCAGTAAATACCATACTTTTTATTTTGATGTCTATAATGGATAGATACTGCAAAGGAAAAACTGCTTTCTTAAGAGGACATCCATTTTAATTTTGTCAAAGCTGCTGGTTAAAATCAGAGGAGGAGCTGACCATCAGTATAAATCTGACTCGTTTATGATTTGCTGTTAAGTTTTACTGTATTAGAGGGCTATTCTACCTAAATGACTGTTATTTTAGAATACCAGGTTCTATCTAAAAGAGTGACACTCCTGATCCCCAAGAGCCAGACTCACTGCTGCCATTTCTCTACTGGGTTGAACTTGATTATTCGTAACCAGCTATTAAACTGCCCTCCTGGATTTGCTTGGAGATTAGCGGCAGGCTTGCATCTGGTATACGGTAGTTGCATGTAGTGGTGGCACACCCCAAAAAAAGAGAAGACTTGTACTTTTGATTCCCCTTTGAATAACATTTTCAACAAGGGAGAAACAAGGCACTGGGTGAGCCAAAGGCTGAGGAACCGGGAAGTAGAGGAGGCTGCTGTCTCTGCACAGTCCCCCACAGCTCTGAAGTGAGCAGGGAGGATGACTGCCCCAGAATAAGAAAATCTGCAGCTCTCTAACACCGAGAGTCCCACATTTCAGGGACCTTCCTAATTGTGGGTCTACCCCATGCTCTGGAAGGAGGGCGGTGGTGTTCAAATAAAGACAAAACAGGAAGCAAAAATGTTTAAGAAATGTGCCCGCGTTTTAGAGATGTTCTGGTGAGCCTCACCAAAGGGGGAAAAAACCTCCCACAAACAGACAATGGCACTAGCATCACCCACATCCTCCCCTAGGTCTGGGGATGTGCTTGGCTCCTGCTGTTCGCACCACAGAGATTCCTAAAATGTAGGTGAAACTGATGAATACATAGAGACAGAGAAAGAACAGGTAGGTGGTGTAATAACATATGATGTGTTTACTTTGAAAGCTAGACTAAGAAAATTCTCTTGAGACAGGAGGAGAAAGCATCCCCCATGATTTAAAAACCAGTTCTGGGCCACCGGCAGTTTCAAAGACATCTGGAGCTGGTGTTTGGTTACCTCCAAGACTCTCCAAATAAGAGATCAGCTGGATGGGTACAGTAGATCCCGGAGAAAATGCAGCACCTGAGGCCAAGAAAGGCAAGCTTGGTTGTCTGGGGAGGGTCCTGGTTGTCAGTCAGCTCCAGTGGCAAGCCCCTGACTACCTGCAGGAACTGCTGCTTGAAACCCATTAGGGCTTAACACATGCTAGGCATATTGATAACATCCTATGGCTCTGCTGTCTACAAGTCTTTTCTGCTTCTCAAATTCATTTTTGAAGCACTGATTCTCAGAAAAAAAGGTTAGAAAGCTGTGAGTGCTCATAAAATTCTCTGAAAGTTGACATCAATACAGTCCTTCTCAAGAAGCAGATACAGATAATTTCTCTGGAGGAAAAAGAAGTTTCCTCAAAACACAGATCTTATACTGCACTGTGCTCATGGTGCTTGGTGCCCCTGTTATTAATGGGCTCTATTATATTTGTTTAGCCACATTACTGATCAGCAATATTAACATTAGCTGGTTTGTTTAATAACCAGTCATTTGTTTGGCATCTTTAAACTGGGTTGACCTCATTCAGAGAAAGTCAAGCCTCTTGAAAACACCTTTTCATTAGACCACAAGTAAAAGTATCCTGCCCTAAGAAGAGTTCAGGAGGATTTTGTCTAAAGAATGAAGCATCCTCAGAGCAAATGTAAATTCTTCCAGGGTCTTTGAATTACATACCTCCAAAACACTTCAAAACAAAACAAACAAAATCCCCCACAAAACCACTTTCAGTTTTCCAGTATTTGAATAATGAATTCTATTAACAGAAGGAAGAGAAGGACAAAACAATTCAGAAGCCCTGACAGAAGTACACTGTTATTTTAAACAGTGTCCTCTCAGGAAAACATTATTTCTATCATATTCCTACGCATCCCAAAGTGGAAAATATAATCTCTGGATTGAATATTAGTAATTTTCCACGTAACTGCTGGAAACAGTTAATGGACTCTTTAATGGACTTTAAAAACACTCCTTAATGGACTGTTCTCAAAACTGTTGTCTTTCCTCACCCCCGCTATCCAAGGAGTCATACAACTAAAACTGTCTACTTTTTCAGATTTTTCTTCCAGGTATGTTTCTCCCTTTGGTCCCTAACATTTATTACTGGAGGAAGGGTTGGAGAGCACTGAGCTGCAAAGACCCCATGCAATGCTCTCCTCCCATGCAGATGCAGTGGCAGTGAGGAACCCTAACCGCACTCAAAATCTCGGATCCCTAGGATGGGTGCCACCAGGGCTTGCTGCATAACTCCCCAAATCAGGAGGGCTTCCCTTCACCCATGCTGGCACACAAAGACAACAAGGAATGAAAGACTACACTAAGAAAACTGGAAAAATCTACCACAGGAAAGCACCACATGCCTCTGGAACAGATGGCATGAGGCCATTGGGGTAACATGTTCACAGAAGGGAGGTTTAAAACCATATCAGAAATCACAAGAGAGCCAAGATATCACCAGTCCTCGCTTTCTGAGATTTCTTCTTCTTGCCTATTCCTAAATGTGGGGGCTCACATCTACTCTGTGGCCTCAGAGGGGCTAGATATGGCTCCCTGGGAATGTCTCAGGTTTTCAGACAACCACCACTAACAAACATACTGGATGTATTTTCTGCTTCTGGGAAACTACTTCTCTGTCCCAAGTATGGCAGAAAGGTGCAAGTGGATTTCACCAAGCAGCAAGTGCTACTCTATTTCCTTCAGCACCTCCAACCCCACCCAGTGCTGCAGCACCCAATATTTTGGCAAGTGAGGTAACTCCTATAGCCTAACCTAGCACGGTGAGAGGTGGATGCTTGCCAACTGGCACCACAGTAACTCACGTAATGCTTGGGAAAGATACGGAAGAGGCACAGTTTATTATCATGCAAAACACTTAACTGTTCTTGACACTGCCTCGGAAAAGAAAGTTCAGTTCATTTACTCAACTTTTATTTCACCTCTTATTTATTGCCCTTCAAACATCCTTGAAGATATATGAACTTGCCTAGGGATGGCACACTATTAAAATCTAGAAGGCTGGAGAACCTAAGGACAACTAGAAAATTTGCCCCTAAATGAGTCAGTGTGGAGATACTTGTAAAAGTTACGAGTCATCCTGGCATCCATGGCAACTCTACATTTGACTTCTTGAGCCCTCTTCTATCGTATCAATTGTTAAGTTCATTTTTTTAAGGAAACTGGAAACAATGCAGCATTTTTATCGGAGTGGAGGTAAACTCAAGGTAGTCAACAATCCTAAGAGATGGATGTCTGCAAGTTGCAAAAGCTGGACGTTGGATGTTTTTAGAGTCTATAAATACTTACACAGGCATCTTAAAATCAGTGATCCAAGCCAGTATAACAGGTCCTATGTCCTATTCAGTGCTCTCCAACAGTGACCGCAGGGATAAGAAAGAAACTTCTCTACAACTTTGCTCTTGAAAGGCAATTCTGAGGTTTTCTAGGACTGTTTTTGAACCTCTTTTCTTATAGAGACTGAACTTGGATATCTGGATGTCTTTTCTGTACCTGCCTGTTTGTCATATACTGGTTGCTGGTATGGTAGAGATACTTTAAAAAAGCCCTTTATTCTGCCTTAGAAGAGAGGTGAACTCTAAGGGTTTTATGAATTGTTTTTAATTTTATTTTATTTTTTTAACAAGGAAACTCCCCATACTCAGCAGCTAAAGTTCCCCTTTATTTCCACAGTGGTTACTAAGGGAGCTAGTTTTCAGTAAATGTAAATTTTCTACCCGCAGCTTCTCATTGCCAAACCTGGGTCAAGTACAAATACAGAAGGATCTGACAAGCTCAGCATTAAGTTACCTAAATGCCTCCTGTTGATAGCTTCTCCAGAAAATGCTATCAATGATATCACATACATATCAAGTATCCCAAGAAACAGCATTAACCCAAACAGCAATTTTAGTAAACTGAAACCTTTCTCATTTGCATGTGAAGAGGTGACTTCATGAAAATTTTCCCTTTTAACAGCAAAGGTTTGTTACATATAAAAAAGAAGATCAGAAGATTCATTATATGCCACAAAGTGCTTCTGGCTGCGATTTTGAAGCTCCCTACACATTAAAATAACTCACTATTGTCATAATCATGCACAACTGACATGTTATGTGGATTTAGACTGCAGTAGCCTCCAAACAATATATAATTTGTGTGCTGTAATAACAAAACCACTTAAACCAGAAAACAATGTATGCCAAGCTTGTTTAGCCCCACACACCTTTATCACTTGCTTTATACCCAAGCCAGTATAGAGTCCGTTAACTGGAATAAATGAGAGCTCTAGAGTTTTAAAAATAATACAGATGTGCTGTACATCAAAGCAGAGCTAGTGCAGAAGTCATCACTATTGCTCAAATAAATAATTATCCCAGGCTTGCAAAATATGAACTGCCATGGTTTCAGCTTCTGAGTTACTGTATGGAACTGTTGCACAAAAAAACCCAAACCAGAGAAATTAAATGACCCAAGGTTTGGGAGGCCTTCTGTAAAAGAATTCCATCAAATGACTGGGGCAAAGGGGGGACACTCAGAGTTTTGTATTAGAAAAGTAAAAATCTTTGCTGAACATAAAAATCATTGTTCAGAAAAGTTTGTTGTGTGCAGGCAGCTATCAATAGTTTAGCATCTCCAGGTAATCATGTACTTCTCACAACATGCACCCACTGATTAGTGAAGAACAATTATTTAAAAACTAGAAAAGGTGCAGTTAGCCTATTTGTAGGATCCTGTCTGTAGCATTTGCTGGTCCCTTTCCTAAAGCAGCTTCCCCACCACTAAAGCACCACTAAATCACATCTCTTCTTCTAGCCACCAGCTGAGAAGAGTGAAGCAGCATGTTTCCAGACCAGTGGCTGTGAGCAGCCTTTACTTGCATACCTGTTTCATCAGGCGAGCTCGGCGAGGCACTGTCCTGCGACAGCGTAGTCCAGCTGGAGTCCTCATCACTTGGGGCCAGGTTTTGAATCCTATGGAGGGCACAATCTGTTTTGGCCCCTGTTTTTGGGTGGTCTTTCTTAGTCTCAGGGCTTGATGACACTGCAGCAACTTGGCCATCCTCTGGGCTTGATGGCTTGTTTTGTTTCCGGGGCAAGCCTTCCCCATTGACAATAATGGTAGATGCCTGGCTGTTGCTTTGTGCAGATTTATCTTCCATCGTAACAAAACTCTGCTCTAGCTCTCTAGCAGATGTCTCTAGATCTGCATAGTAATTCAGGAAGCTCTTGGTCCTCCTTGGCTGTGAGGGTAGTATTTCACAGCCAGAGGAATCCTGCGGGATCGGCTCTTTGCCTTCAAACTTCTCAGAAGTTACGTTTATGCCTGCAGTGGCAGGGAGGTTTTTGTTGGGATCTTGCTGTCCCTGCTCGGCGGCTTTCCTGAGCTGGTTTTCTCCATTCTTTACCAGCTTTATATTGGCAGAGCCGTTCCCCAGAAGGGGCTGTGCTGCTGGATCAGAAAGACCCATGGCTGTCTGAATGTTAGTCAGCGCATATTTTTTCCTGCACTTTGGAGGAGTGGTGTTCTTGGTCTCTGTGTGCCTAATCTCTGCATTCAGAAGTTCATTGTGAGAGGAGCGCAGGTTGAGCGTGTTGGGTGGGGTGGCAGGGCTGTTGCGGTTCACAACGTCCGTCGTGCTGCCGCTTGCCATAAACACTGCCAATGCGTCCACGCCAGAGTCAACTAGAAAAGCAAAAGAGACAGTCATGAAACAGACTAATTCATTGCATAAACTATCCTGTTAGGGCTTCTGGTACAGGGATGCAGCACTTTACATAATTGGTTTACAGCAGGAAAATTACAACAACCTAAGTGGGTAAGACAATAGACAAAAGCTGAACTTATTAAATAAGGAAAAACAGAGGCGGGGGGGGGGGAATCATTGGGACCATGAAGCTGAGAATAACCAGGAAGCTTGACACTATACAAGGCAGTTTCAGGGCAGTTTTCCATGTCTCTGTTTCAAGCAGGCTTAGGGACAGAAGAGGTGCCCTCTGCAAATGTCTGAATCCAGAAGTCATCATAATTTCATTCTAGTATTTCATATCTACCTATGATGACAAGGGGAAGAACTCCTCAAGTCCTAAGCACTAGGAAGAAAAAATTGTAAGAAATTTCTAAGAGACACAGGCAGATGCTGCTCCTTTTTCAGCGAGGGTAGAACTCAAGTACCATTAATTTTAAGCCTGACTGGCCAGTCAGCTGTTGTCTCCTAACACCTGCATTTTCTCTGCTCTTTGTCTGTCTTTCTCTCCCCTTCCCTGTGTTTTTTCTTTTATTTTGAGGTGGAAAGTAGAGAGTCAGAAGGTAAGTGATGTAAACAGTAGATTATTTCAAAAAGATGCATTTCATTTCTGGAGGGGGGAGGAATCCCCTGGCAAAATATCCTGCTCTAATTCAATCAGCTTTAAAGAAAGGGCTACTCCAGAGAGGAAGATGGGTCACTATTTCTACAGCTCACAAAGTTCAAGCTTAAGGACAAAGTGTACATCCTAGGGCACAGTACACGTATTCCACCACTAAATAAAACCATTAATTTATCTATTTGTAGGCAAGTTTTTTAATTTTGTTAGCCAGGGGTGCAGCTCACATTTTGAAAAAGTATTTAGTTTATTGAGGGAACAGATTTTTAGGCTATGAAAAATAATCAGACAATATATACTTTTTTTTTAAACTGTAATTTGTTCCTGTACTATTTCTGGCTCTCACTAATCTGCACAACTGTGTGAACACCTCACTTTACATACTATAACAGTCACTGTTGACACCTAGCAACCAAATTAGAGGCCAATTAATAAATCACTCCCATCTGCCACAGCAGGAAACACCCTTGCTGTTGTTCCTAATTCTCAGGTATCACTGACTGCTTATATTGCACATAAAAACGTGTTTGGGGCTTACCCAGGAATGAAAAGCTGTAATTTGAGCTAGCCGATGACAGATCAGTCCAGCTGAGTAATGCTGCATCACTGTGTGTTTGATATATAACAGAATTGATGGCTGTACAGATTTACAAGAGATTAAATATGTGGGTTTTAAAAGAACATATACATAAACACAGGATGAACAGGAGCACTCCACAATGTTACCTAAATGCACACACAGTTGCTAGTGTTCCCTTGTCTTTGATGTGCTGTCAAAGCTGCACACTTCCAACCATCACCCTGGTTCATTTAAAACCAAGCAGAGCAGCTATACTCTTTGCGCCCTGAATCACCCACCAAGAACTTCCAAAACTTGCTCAAACCAGAATTTAAAGTAGACTTTACGAATGTTCATGTCTGCCATTTTCTCAAGCCCCAGTCAGTCAGGTCTAGACCAACTACAAATTCTTTGGAAGACAGGTCACCTCATGCACACTACGAAAAAGCCACCAGCTTAGGTAACAGTCACAAACATCCTAGAAACAATTTCAGCTCTAGCCACAAAAGACTTACAAAACACAACTATCACATAATCTTCATGTATGACAACAAAACACATTGCTGTCTGCAACTAACCTAAATCTAACCAAGTATAATGAAAGCAAGGTCACATCTGATGTTACCAAAGCACATGTTTTAATCAAAACCATGAAATGGGCTGTGTTTATGGAGTGGCTGCTTTATGTTTTTCCAAATCCATTAGAAGTCTGGAAGTTACATTAAAAAAAAAACAGACATTAGGGCAGGATAATTTTGACCCACTACCTGACCTTTAGAATCTGTTGAATCACGCGGTATCTACGGATTTCACTAGATTGTATTTTATTTTATGCTTCAGCAAATTAAAACAAGCATTTCTGGTTTCCATCAATAAATAAAACTGCCACAATCTGGAACAAGACTGAAATTTATTCTTCTCCTTTGTTACAAGTGAGCTGCTTCATGCAATGTTTGTCACTATTTTTACCACTAAAAATATTTCTTAGAAAAATAATCTTCCTAGATAAAGCTTACATATCTGCCTGCCAGATTATCTTCAGCCAGGATCCTGCTGTTCACATTTTGCTTATCAAAAAATGTTGTAAGAATAAGCACATAGAAACATTGAAAAAATGTATTATGTTTTATTAATCTGCTCAAAAAGCTCCCCAACTGATTTATGAAGAACACTGCCACTGATCCATGACTGAGCCAAAGCTCCACAAGTCTTTGTGACCCAAGCAGTGTTTGCAAACTGGGTGCTAAGTTGGTTTGGTGTATGATCAAAATGAACCTTTCACTAGACACCATCACCCTCCTGGCCTCATTTCAAATGATCCACTTATCACAGAATCATAGAATAGTTAGGACTGGAAGGGACCTTAAAGGTACCTAGTTCCAACTCCCCTCCATGGGAAGGGACACCTTCTATTAGACCAGGTTGTTCCAAGCCCCATCCAAAAAATGATCAATGAACATGCAAAAAGTATGACAAGTTGCGCACAGGGAAGAGTGGACTTCTCTCAAGAGACAGGTGCCTGCTCACTAGCCATCACCCTGCACTCATAGCCAGGATCTGGGATGTACGCAGCCAGCTTCCCTCGATTCTTGGAAGCAGATACAAAGAAAAGCAACAGAAGAGGCAAAAAGAGAAGAAGAAATACAGATGTGAAAGGGCAGGACTTGCACCTGAGGAGCAGAAGTTGCTACCAGACCAGGACTAACTGAAGTGCTGGAAAACACCTGAATGCAAATGCAAAATTTTGCAAAAATTTGAATGCAAGGAAATGCTTAAATGCACTGAAGAAAATCTAGACTGCACAGTAGAACAGCACAAGGAAGAAGACCAACAGCCTGTCCCTCCTCCTTCATAGAAGACAATGTGATACTCAAAACATGTCACTTTTCCCAGGGGAAGCACGTTCCAACTTTATAATTGAAAACTTCAAGGAAATGTAACTTCTTCCTGTGCCTTTAATTTCAAGACTGAAATCCCAATCACCGACCTCCCCTATCTTCTATTTTGTCCCTCCCAGTGTCCCTGCCTCCCTCACCCCAGGGGTTCCTAACACATGTTGTTGCGGTGCCCCTCACCAGCCAACCAACACCCTGTGCCAGGGGTTCCAGGGACCTCGATGCAGGCAGACCCTGTCCCCCCTCCTCGGGAAGTTCCTCATGCTTCCTGGCCACCAGCAAGGACAATGATACTGGCACAGGGCACCCTTCCTTCAACTGCTTTCTGCTGAAAAGCAAACGCAAATGGACAAGCAGACCAGGAATCACTGAGTTGATACGTGTATCTCAGCTAAAGCAGATGAAGAGTGGTAAGTTGTGAGTGAGTAAAAATAGGGTATTATAATAAAAAAATATTGGACTGGTGAAAAACTAAGAATAATTAGAATGTTATGATTACTGGGAACAATATTAAAATGTTGGTGCTTAAAGACAGCACTTAAGTAGGTAGAAGATCTGTCATAGCAATTCATTAATGGGTTTAGCTTGCTTACTTTTAAAAACAAATACTGTCTCAACTGCGTACTTCTAACATTTAGATACATGCCTACAGATATAGATTAATATACTTTTGCTACTATAACATGTTTAACACAAAGTAATCTAAATTTTCTAAGCATCATAATAATACAAATAACACTATTACTTCAATGGCTTTATTGAGGTTTTTCAATCTTGTCATAAACCTTACAGAGCTGGAAAGAGGAAAGAGAAAATGCCATTGCAAACAGAAAACAGTGCATGATTGAGTTGTCTTTACCTCTAATAGGACATTTTTGCATTGTATTGTCTATAGGAATACTTTGTTAAAAGTTGAATACAATCTATTCAAAAAGCACTGTTAAAAAGAAAAGAGTGCTGGCTCTTTTATGGATAAGTGCAAAATGAAAGTGAAATATGGGCCTGGGAAGGAGGAAAAGAAGAGAAAAGTTTCACATATTTGCATAGCAGAATCTTTTAAAGGGCATCTGACCTGGAAGTACTTCTGACATGGCTCACGGGGCGTCAGCAATGCATCAGGAAATAGATTATAATTTGAAATCTGAAAAGAGGGATCATTTAAGAATTAAAACCAAAGGAAAACACAAAATAAAACTACCACATTTCAGAAGTTCCTGAGACACGTTAAGCATTCTAAACAAACCCTGGAACATAACAGTGAGGATCTTTTGAGCTTTCAGTGATATTTGACAGTGATTAAAGTATGGGAGAGGCTAGTTTACACCAATTAAAAATAATGACATTTTTCTTAATGTACGCTTGAGGACCACAAGTTCAGTAATTTCTCCAGTTTTAATCAACATATTCTAGCAAAAACTTCATGACATTAGAAAACACTGGGTTTTCCCCCATGACCCAGCTACAGCATGCTTGGGAAACTACAGCAGAACTGGTAAAAAGAAACAGAGCAGTCAGGCATGTTCACATGAAAGTTTGCAGGATGAGATCCAGGATGTGAAACCAGGAAGCATAGGCTGCAGGGCTGATCCCACAGAAAGGAATCATAAAAAGCAAGCTAGCAGCAAGCTCTTGTACAGGACTCCTTCCTGGTCATCTTCTCTCAAGGAAACCATTTTGCCTTAGTCTGGTTTGGATGTGAATACACTGGGAGACAAGGCACTTCTATGCACTTATGACTCCTTCTGCCATTATGGTTAGGAAACATAGGAAAGAAATAATACAAACCTTTTCATAAAGCAGATTTCCTTTAATCTGTTAAGTACAGAACATTTAATGACAAGCTCATGTTATAGGGACCTGTACACT